TCTTCTACAGGGTAACTCGTGAAAGTAAAATCCTCAGGGTGAAAATTTCGTCCGTTTTGCTCTATCTCCAACCGTTTGGGCGCTGGAGGGTCTTTTTGGACGAAAATAAAGTAAATCCAATTTTGGGCCCGGAAGACCCTGTTTCCCTGCACCCTCTCCTTAACTCGTCTCGGGTCTCAGCGCCGCAGGCCTAGCTATATGTTCGCCAGGCGCATCGCAGCGTAACAGTGTTTCGTGAGATATCGCGAAGCCTGTTACGCGAGACGTGGTCTGGCGTACATATTAGAGTGGGGCGTAGGAAAAGGATTTTGGAAATTGAAAACGCAATAGTGCGGAAAAGTTGCCCTGACCGGTGACAAATTCAACGCATTTTAACTTTTTGAGATCGGATAATATTTTCCGATCCCGCAGAGCGTTCAAAGTTTTGCATGGTTCTCTTATGGGGAAAGGGCTCAAAAAGTGAAATTTCTGATTTTTGGCTTTCCGGCAAACATTTTTCGAAAACTAATCTCAGAAATGCAGTCTACGCGAAAAAACACGTTTACCGATGTGCCACACTTGAAATTTGACTGAAGGGTTTAGTCGGTCGTAAGTGCAAATTTAGGCCAGCAAAGCCATTTTTGTGTAAGTTTTAAGTTAAAGTGGCACCTGAATGACTCCGAACGCTTCACTCAAATTTCAAGTGTGGCACATCACTAGACGCTTTTTTTTGCGTAGATTGCATTTCTGAGATTCGTTTTCGAAAAACGTTCGCTGGAAAGCCAAAAATCAGAAATTTCACTTTTTGAGCCCTTTCCCCATAAGAGAACCATGCAAAACTTTGAACGCTCTGCGGGATCGGAAAATATTATCCGATCTCAAAAAGTTAAAATGCGTTGAATTTGTCACCGGTCAGGGCAACTTTTCCGCACTATTGCGTTTTCAATTTCCAAAATCCTTTTCCTACGCCCCACTCTAGTACATATAGCTAGTTTTAATGCACTTCGCTCAGCTACCCCGTGCATAATGTTAACGCACGGGGCCCTACGTTTAAATGAGTTGTTGAAAACCCGAGGTGGACAGGCCGACCGCCGGCAAGGCACACAGACTGGGGCCCCGTGCGAGGCAACTTCAGAACTTCGTTATTGGCAGCTGCGGACAAAACTTTTCAGACTGATAGTTCAACAAGAGTTACGTCGGAGTACGTTCATGAATAACAGGAGTACAGCCGCAAGCCAAATTTCACCCCGCGAACGCTAAGAGAACAGTCGAAGTACACGTTATACACCCACAGAACGAGTGTTTCAGTGTGCCAGTACGCACGGGTCTGCCTACACCGAAAACTTGAACTTCCCTAGAAGTTTTACCTCTTTCCAGCCTCCGAGCGAATAATGTGGAGAGCCTCTTCAACACTTGTTGGGTTGTCAACTGGGCGGCTAGCCACAACTGCGCGCCTCATGCTCGAGTTCATCTCTTTCAAGGTCGTCTGGCATCGCACATCTCTGTAACTGAAAAAATTAAGAAAATTAATTCACGGTAAATATGTTCAGCTTTATCATAGAAGAGAGAAAGAGGAAAGGGGCGGCGAGAAGAGACCGATGCGAAGGGAAGAGAGCAGAGGGAGGTGAAGGGCGGAGAGGGGAGAGGGGAAAGAGCAGAGAGCAGAGAGAGTAGAGGGAGGGGAAGGGAGGGGAGGGGAGACAGCAGAGAGAGGCGAAGGGGGGAGAGAGCAGAGGGAGGGGAAGGGCAGAGAGAAGAGGCAGGAGACGGACACCTTTGAGGCGCCCGCGGGGCAAACAGCCCGTCATGTCGTTGACGGCGACGTCCCTCACTCGTGCGAGGAGGCGCGGGCGCGCGAGGCGCCGAGCAGACACCTTTGAGGCGCCCGCGAGGCGCGGTGCTCCTGCCTGCGCAAGCAGCCCGTCATGCCGTTGACGGCGACGTCCCTCACTCGCGAGAGGAGGCGTTTACTGAGCAAAGTCCTGTGAGAGCCCTCCTCCCCCCCCTCCCTCCTCTCTCCCGACGAGTGCTGAAGGCCACTGCCCATCGTTGCCCGCGATGTCGTCGACGCCAACATGCCCTTGACGACACCCCCCCCCCCTCACTCTTTCCAGTGACATCAAGTGTTGGCGCACGGTCCGAGGTGCCGACCCAACCGCACAACCTCTTCCCGTGAACACGAAGTCACTGGGGAGGCGTTCAAATTCGTCAGCTCTCACAGTGCTCTCGCAGCACGCCCCGAGGCCCGAGGTAATCCGGGTCTCCATACACCTTGTGCTGGGTGAAATAGTATGGGTTTGAGAGAGCTGTGCGCCGTGGGCTCCAGGCCCATGGAGTGCACTCCCAAAGCTGAATGCACGGCGCGGCGCCCCCTGCACCGGCTCCTGCGTGGTGCCTTCTGTTCGCGGCTCCCTGCGCCGCCTACTGCACACTGAGGGGCTATGTAGAATTTTTTACGTAACTGCGTAAGATTTTATACGTAGTCTATGTAAGTATATCAACATGCGTAACTACGTATTAAAAAGCCTGTAGCTTACGTACAATTCTAAATTTGTCAATTTTTTTGGTGCACAGCGACAAATGAAATGGTCTACTTGAAAAATAGTACGTAGCTTACGCACAATTCAAATGAAAAGATGTACCTGTTATTTTGTGCGTAGTATACGCACAATATTTTTAAAATTGACATTTCTCATAAAAGTTTATAGGATTCATCCACCATGCAAGCCTGTCATAAATTTTCATACCACTTTTGTGCAATTCTCATAACAGAGTTTGTTATTTAGCCAAATCAAAACAAGTGTCCATTACTGCAACAACAATCTCTGATCTGACAAGCCTGAGAAGGCATTTGCAGCATGTACTCACTTTTGATTAGGTATCTCATCACCAGTATTCCCTTTTCCTTGGATACAAATGAAAGGACACTGTGGTGTTCCTGCTGCTGGCTAGGATGGGGATGGGTTACACCTCGGCTGAGGCCGAGGCAGCTGCCTTCTCGCATGGTGTAATTCATTGCGATGCACATAGTACGTTTCGTCTTTGGTACTTCACTGATCATAGATTTAAACCAACATCGACAAGAGTCGACTGTCATTGTCCGCAGCTCATCGAAATCACTGTAATTCTGCACTTTACTATACACAAAGTCACTCCCGATCCAATGCGCGGTCGCCATTTTTACACTAAAACTAAAACATTTGTACATTTGTTTCTGTTATGACTCGACTGCCTGTCCTTCGCAGATGGTTATTCGCAGAGAAACAAGAAGAAAATCCGATTCCGATCGTCGATTGTTAGTCGTCTGCTGCTCGTGACGAAAACACAACATCCCATGGTTTGCGCCGTCGTCTTCTTTTCCTTTTGGTGCGAATTTCTTCTTCTGATGTTCTTCTCGTATGCTTTTGCTCATAAGATTATGACCTGCTTCTCTCCCTTTTCCCACTTGTCATTTTTTGGTTTCTGAAAGTTTCCGTCGCATTGTTAAAGGGCACGCATTCACCTCATGTTTCCCATCATCTTTTGCTGTTTTCGTACTTTCACGGTCCCGTTAACTTGATTGCAACTGTCTGTGCTTCCATTTTGCTTCTAATGCCGTCAAAGTTTAAAATAACGTTTAATTTTATAGAAAAGTTGTCAAATTCTAACATTGTTATGATAATCAATTTTTATTTTCCTATGCTTCAGGTGCGGTTGTTCCACAAGAGTAAGGTTTAACTTCACTAAGTAAGCCAGGGTGCTGTGACTGGACTTGGGTGGTGATTCAGAAGCTCCAATTTACTTGGTAAGTTGTTCTCCTTGTTTTTTTGTTTTTTTTTAATGAACAATTTTAACATTAATCTAATTTACCTCCCCTCCCCACTCGGTTTGTTTCCGGTCAGTGCTTAATGGAGATCGAGGCTAATTTCTTATCCAACTGATGTTGGCACTTGAGAGATAATGGGTCCAAAAGATGATGACGCCAACTGGTGCCGCACACAACAGTAAAGCAGGTAAGCTAACAGATTTAACTATCTCTGATTCCAGACTGCGTTGGGACTGCTAATTTAAGTTTCTTTGCTTTTCTTCTTTTCAGAATGGACCGTCTCAAACGGATGCTGTCAATAGAAATAAGTCAAGGATAAATCTTGACCAAATTTAACATAGACAACGGTTTACCGGATTCAAGATAATACATGTTCTATTAGAGCTATGATCCCTTGTCGATATTCTATATTAGCAAATAATTGACTGTCTCTTGCATATTACCCATAAACATTAGGTCAGACATTTTGTTAATTGTTAGTTTTCCTATTCAGTCTAATTCTTGTTATTGCACAAGTGCTCACTGTTGCCTGGTTATGTAACTGATTTGTAACCATAAAATTTGTTAAAAGTTATGAAAGGAATTAAGCTTAATTAATAGCTTGTTGCATCGGATGAAGCTGCATCAACTATCAGCTAAATAAAACTGTGAGCCAAGTTTCTTTACTTGCCTTTTAGAGAATGTGACTGAACATGGTAATAATGAAGGGATGAACTCTATCATTTAAAATTATTGTACCATTGAGTATAATGAGTATGAGTAGTTTACTTATCAATTTATAAGAGTGGTTAGCCTTAGATACAAATACATTTGTATTTGTATCTAAGGCTAACCACTCTTATAAATTGATAAGTAAACTATGTTGAAGATAAGAACCATGTTGATCCATAGGTGAAAAGCCTTCAAATTTTAGTAGTTATGTTTGAGGACTGTTGATTGACTTCATCTGCAAACAAAAGTGACAGTATGAAACCATTTAAAATTTGATTTACATGTTATCTATAACTATCTGTATAATTACCTAGTACACTTTCTTATGCTTAGTTTATAACTGCTGACCTGGCTCTGTAAGGACCATGGGGATTTGCCCTTTTTGTTTCTCACTAGCTCTTGAGTCATCTCCAGAATAATTCTATAATTAAAAAGACAGTCCTGAACAGCTGCTAATGTTTAATAATATTTTATAGTACCCTTGACTTATATGTTAGAACATTAGTTCTCACCTCTTAGTGAACCAGTTTTGGTTGTCTGCCCGTGGCTTCCCTTTCCTTCCCCTGAGAGCAAAAATTCAACGGCTTGTATTTGCACCCCTGATTGGTCCTGCAATAAAACAAAATTAAGACAAATAATTGTTGAATATATAGCATACCTGTTTTAACAAACAAAAGTATATAATTCCAAAGAAATATAGAATGATAGGTAGATTAAAATCATGACCTGGTAAGCAAAATGAAATCATTAAGCAAGAAAGGATAGACAACCATAAAACATGACTGTAATGCTGTGGTCTCAATGGCAAGCAGTATACACCATTCTACCCATAGAACTTCACTGCTTTTGAAAGCTGTAATGCTACAAGCACATAAGAACCAATCAATTAACATTTTCTGAGAGTTAAGGAGTGACTGTCAAACAATTATAAATAAGATTAAAATCAAGTCACTCGAGTCTTAAAAATAATCTTTACAATGCTTATTAAGATAAAGCCGAGTATGTGAATTATACCTTGTGGAGGTTAGCATCACACTTCGGTAAAAAATAGAAAAAGGGGAGAGTTTCAATCTAAGATTACTTTACGACTCATACACTTTTTTTTTAAATGAAATAGAAGGAGAAATCCAACTGTGCTTTAAATTTGCTGCAGGGTAGGGAAAGGTATAAAAATTAACCCTGAGAACAAATTTTTATAAGTTTATAACCCACCAGTAACATATCATTGGATGGTAGAGGGCCTTGTCATTTCAACTAACTGTACTAACTGTACAGAACACTCTTTGCAAGAGAAAGCACATGATCTTAGTGAACATTCAGTACAATCAAAGATTATGTGTTGCAGTTTAAGAAATGACTTCTAGAAAAATCTTGTTTAGACGAAGAGGAGAGTAAACAGATTAGATAAAAAATTGGATTTGCTGTAGCAGAAGGGAAAGGTTAAAAAATATACCATTAGTAACAAGAATGGATTAGATTAACTTAAATGAAAGCATTTAAAAGCACTCAACACAAGCCTCAACCTGGAAAATGTGCAGCTGTGAAGCAAATTGCATAAGACTGAAAAAGAATTAAAAGGATAAGGAAAACTCCACATAAGGGTATTTAGATAAAACATGTACAGAAATGCTCACCTTGATAATAATGGAACCATCTGTTCAAGTCTACTGAGGGACTATCATTTTTCTCTTTGAGTATTACTTTTCAAAAAATTAACTTCTGGAAAGCTTGAAAATGGTTTGGCATTTGGAGATGCTACTGAACAAAAATAGATTAGATGAACTTAAATGAAAGCATATAACAGTCAGAAACTAGTTGGTTAAGGAAATACAAACCTCACCACGTAATGCTGAGTCAAGCAAAATTCAAACAAATTGTTTGGAATCGTACTTGGCCGGGGCTTTGACTCAAGCTCATTTTCAAAGAACGCCTCATCAAGGACAAAAGTGCAGCTGTGAAGCAAATTGCCTAAGACTGTAAAAGAATTAAAAGGATAAGGAAAACTCCACTGAAGCAAGGGTCTTTAAAGAAAGCATTTATCTACAGAATTGCTCACCTTGATAAAAATGGAACCATCTATTCATGTCTAAATATACCATAAGTAACAAGAATGGATTAGATTAACTTAAATGAAAGCATTTAAAAGCACTCAACAGAAGCCTCATCTTGGAAAATGTGAAGCTGTGAAGCAAATTGCATCCGGCTGTAAAAGAACTGAAAGGATAAGGAAAACTCCATTAAAGGGCCTATAGAGAAAAAATTATCTACAGACATGCTCACCTTGACAATGATGGAACCATCTGTTTTATTCTACAGAGAAGCTACCCTGTTCTTTTTTGAAAAAAATTTATTGTTGGTTTTCCAATGGTTTGGCACTGGAGTTGCTGCTGAACAGAAATAGATTAGATAAACTTAAATGAAAGCATTTAAATGGCAGACACAAGTTGCTAAAGAAAATACATACCTCTTTACACAATGCAGAGTCAAGCAAAATCCAAACAAATCATTTGGAATCGTATTTGTCATGGGTTTCAATTCTTCTACATGCTCTTTAGCTCTCATTTTGAATTTAGTTAAGAGTTTGAATTGGTCAATTTCCACATTTGATGATTGATTTTTGATTTGACTTTTGGATTAAAACTAATACTTGGTTCTGACATAAGTGGTATCCTGCTAAAAGTAAGAAGATAAAATATAGTTGCAATAAAACAGCACAATGAAAGAGAAGAAATATGGCACATAATAAAATGTTTAACAAGCCTTACCTTAAATTGTTCTTAGGGATAGATACAAATCGTTTACACCACCTGTCCATGGTGCGAAACATCTAAAATTTGTAAGAGAAAGAGCGTTCAGCACACTATATGCAGCAAATTGTTGAGACTCACATCGGAAGGCATTGTATTTGGGACTCAGGCCCAAGTTAGTCCATGGTTTTGTAACTAAGTACAGTGCTTCACGTGACACAATTAATTCAGAAATGATAGAAAATGAAGGCCTTAAATGTGTACTTCCTGGCAAACAGACAAATAGCCCTGGTCTATACTCTTCACCGTTGAGGGTGGCACTGTTGGTGTAGGATATTTCTTCAATTTCACTAAGACCAGCCCTACACAGAGCAGCGCAGTGGATAGAATCAGAAACTTTCATAACAGGTCCGTCTTTCTGGTAATCAATACTGAACTCCTCCTCTTCTGTTATTGAAGGTTTTAAGGTGCTTAGTTGAAACATTGCTGCCATGGTTTTAGGAGGGTTCTGAAAATTGCAGCAAATTGAGGCATGCTGACGAAATATTTTCATACGGCCTTCAAACTTGGAACACCACATGCGTACAGCTGGCCCAAATTTTCTCATCATTTCTGGTAGATGAGTAATTTGGTGGACTTTATTGGTTACATACACTTTATAAACCTTCTTTTTAGCCCGCCCTTCTGCTTTTAAAAAGCATTAAAGCGGGCTTATGCAACCGCTCTCGTGTCCATCCGTCCGTCCGTCCGTCCGTCGTCCGTGTAAGAGGAAGGAGATGAGCTAG